TCTCACTAATAACCAAAAAGTCCTAAATTACTCTCCTTGTGTCGTGTTTCAGTTGTTTCAGTCTCCACTCTCACTAACAGGGAGTAAAACAGTGTGGTGTTTTACGTCAAGTGACCTGAGGAGTTATGTTTCCCGTCCACTCACTTGACATCACCTCACTTGACACTTGCACTTGACACTTGACACAAATGACACTTGACTCACTTAACACTTGACATTTACTTCACTTAACACTTGACACAAATGACACTTGACTCACTTAACACTTAACTCACTTGACACTTGATACAAATGACACTTAACTCACTTGACACTTAACTCACATGACACTTAACTCACTTGACACTTGACACATTTGACACTTGACACCTTAACTCACTCTCCCTTACTCTCCGTGCTCTCTCTCTCTCTACCTCTTCCCCATCTCTTTCTTTATCTTACATTTCTTTCATTCATTCATTCTCTTCCTCTCCCCTCTCCTCTCTCCCCTTTCCTCTCTCCCTTCCTCTCTCTTCCTCTCCCTCTCATTCATTCGCTCAGACTCTCTCATTCACTCTCACAACCCCTCTCACTCACTCTCTTTTTCCTCTCATTCACTCTCACAACCCCTCTCACTCACTCTCTTTTTCCTCTCATTCACTCTCTTTCCTCAATGAACTCATCCTTCCACCCCTCTTCTGTCCCATTTTCCCCACCTCCCTCACCTCCCTCACCACCTCTCACCTTCCTCCACATTTCCCCAGCACTTACCAACAATATTCTGCGCCACGTCAGGATTACTCTCATCAAAAGTGAGTTTGGTAAGGTCGCTTTCTCTCTCTCTCTCTCTCTCACTCCCTCTCTCATACACTCACCTACAGTATTCGGCACTACGTCAGGATTACTCTCATCAGAAGGTAGTCTAGCAGTGTCGTGTTTCCTGGAGTGGTTGTTCCTCCTCCTTCTGCAGTAGTGCCTCACCCACACGCCGCCCACCAACACCAGCAGCAGCAGTAGGAGTCCGCCTAACACCTTCCCTACTGAGTTGCTGCCGCTTCTTGAGTCTGTGAAGGCCAATGGTAGCGTAGTTATAACCTGGCCTCACTTTGCATGTATGTATGTATGTATGTATGTATGTATGTATGTATGTATGTATGTATGTATGTATGTATGTATGCATGCATGTATGTATGTATGTATGTATGTATGTATGTATGTATGTATGTTTGTATGTATGTATGTATGTATGTATGTATGTATGTATGTATGTATGTATGTATGTATGTATGTATGTATGTATGTATGTATCATTTATTTAACTATCTATGTGTCAAGGTTGATTTTATAAGAAGGCAGACTGGTAGGGTTTGTCTGTCTGTCTGTCTGTCAATGTCTGTCAATGTGTCTGTCTGTCTGGCTGTCTGTCTGTCAAAGTCTGTCTGTCAAAGTCTGTCAATGTCTGTCTGTCAATGTCTGTCTGTCTGTCTGTCTATGTAACTCTCCAGTTAAACCCTTAAAATTAACCTAACCTATTAATTTATTCAGTATATTGTAATTTATTCAGTATATTGTAATTTATTCAGTATATTGTAATTTATTCATTTATCCTAATATTTTATGTTTGATCTTGTTATTGGCACTATAATATTCTCAGTGTTAATAATACTTAACGTCTACTTAAAAATTGTGTAAATATAATTGGTACTAATTAATTATATATGTGTGTTAATAATATTGGAATTCTTAATTATCTGTAATATTAATATGGGTAATAATTAGGTGTGGGTTAATGATATTGGCACTCAAATTATCAGTGTGTGTTAATGATATTGGTAATAATGGTAAATAAGAGTGAGTGAGTGAGTGAGTGAGTGAGTGAGTGAGTGAGTGAGTGAGTGAGTGAGTGTGTGAGTGAGAGTGAGAGTGTGTGAGTGAGTGAGTGTGTGAGATTAAGTGCATGTGTGAGTGAGTGAGTGAGTGAGATTAAGTGGTGTGTGAGTGAGTGGAGGAGTGGGAGGAGTGAGTGAGTGAGTGAGTGTGAGAGAGAGGAGAGGTGTGGAGTGAGAGTGTGTGAGATTAATGCATGTGTGAGTGAGGAGTGAAAAGGAGGAGGAGTGAGTGAGGAGTGAGAGGATGAGGAGTGAGTGAGAGTGCGTGCGTAAGCGAGTGAGTGGAGGTCCTGAGGTATAGGCATACACCACCACGGGCTGGGAGGTCATGGGTGGGAGGTCACGTACCTGTGGAGGTCCTGGAGGTCCTGGAGGTATAGGCTACACCACCACGGCCTGGGAGGTCATGGGGTGGGAGGTCACGTACCTGTGGAGGTCCTGAGGTATAGGCAGACACCACCACGGGCTAGGAGGTCACCAGACCATGAGTCACGTACCTGTGAGGTCCTGGAGGTCCTGGGGGTATAGGCAGACACCACCACGGGCTGGGAGGTCATGGGGTGGGAGGTCACGTACCTGTGGAGGTCCTGTAGGTCCTGAGGTATAGGTACACCACCACGGCCTGGGAGGTCATGGTGGAGGCACGTACCTGGGAGGTCCTGAGGATAGGCAGACACCACCACGGGCTGGGAGGTCACCAGACCATGAGTCACGTACCTGGGAGTCCTGAGGTCCTGGAGGTACAGGCAGACACCACCACGGGCTAGGAGGTCACCAGACCATGCGTCACGTACCTGTGGAGGTCCTGGAGGTCCTGGAGGTATAGGGCAGACACCACCACGGGCTGGGAGGTCACCAGACCATGAGTCACGTACCTGTGGAGGTCCTGGAGGTCCTGGAGGTACAGGCAGACACCACCACGGGCTAGGAGGTCACCAGACCATGAGTCACGTACCTGTGGAGGTCCTGGAGGTCCTGGAGGTATAGGCAGACACCACCACGGGCTGGGAGGTCACCGGGCCGTGGGTGACGTACACCTTGATCTGGTAACTGGTGCCAGCGTCCAGCCGACTCACGTTGAAGTTAGGCCGATGACGTCACGTTGGCGAAGAGCGTCCTGTTCGAAGTACACCTGGGGAGGGGTGTAGTATCAAGAGGGGGTGTAGTATACTTAGGAGGTGTGTAGTATAATACTGAGGAGGTGTAGTATACTTAGGGAGGGGTAGTATACTGAGGAGGTGTGTAGTATACTTAAGAGGAGATAAGGTAGAGTAATGCTAAGTGTAAAGAAATTAAAGCTGAAAAGAGATAGAGATAGATGGAGACACGGAGAGACAGGCGAGGGAGAGATATATACAACAGAGAGAGAGAGAGAGAGAGAGAGAGAGAGAGAGAGAGAGAGGGGGGTCCGATAGTCCTACAACACCTGGCTTCTGTAGAGCCCTAGCTGTAGACCCCTTTAAGACCGAACATGAACTACATACAACCCACCTGAACCATATAGAACCCTGTAGAATCCACCTGAACTAAATAGAACCCTGTAGAACCCACCTGAACTAAATAGAACTTGTAGAACCCACCTGAACCATATAGAACCCTGTAGAACCCACCTGAACTAAATAGAACTCTGTAAAAACCTACCTGAACTATATATAGAACCCTGTAGAACCCACCTGAACTAAATAGAACCCTGTAGAATCCACCTGAACTATATAGAACCATGTAGAACCCACCTGAACTATATAGGACCCTGTAGAACACACCTGAACCATATAGAACCCAGAACCCACCTGAACATATAGAACCTCAGAACCCATCTGAACTATATAGAACCCTGTAGAACCCACCTGAACTATATAGAACCCTTAGAACCCACCTGAACTATATAGAACTCAGAAACCCACCTGAACTATATAGGACCCTGTAGAACACACCGAACCATAGAACCTTAGAACCCACCTGAACTATATAGAACTCTGTAGAACCCACCTGAACTATAGAACCCTGTAGAACCCATCTGAACTATATAGAACCCTGTAGAACCCACCTGAACTATATAGAACCCCAGAACCCACCTGAACTAAATAGAACTCTGTAAAACCCACCTGAACTATATAGAACCCAGAACCCACTGAACATATAGAACCCTGTAGAACCCACCTGAACTAAATAGAACTTGTAGAACCCACCTGAACTATATAGAACCCTGTAGAACCCACCTGAACTAAATAGAACTCTGTAAAAACCCACCTGAACTAAATAGAACTTGTAGAACCCACCTGAACTATATAGAACCCCAGAACCCACCTGAACTATATAGAACCCTGTAGAACCCACCTAATCTATATAAAACCTTTTAATACCCAATTGAACCCCGTAGAACCCACCTGGACTATATAAAACCCCGTCAAACCCACCTGAACCCCATATGAACCCACCTGAACCCTATAGAACCCATCAGAACCCTATAGAACCCACCTGAACTCCATATGAACCCACTCGAACCCTATAGAACCCACTGAACCCTATATGAACCCACCTGAACCCTATAGAACCTACCTGAACCCTTTAGAACCCATCAGAACCCTATAGAACCCACCTGAACCCCATATGAACCCACCGAACCCACGTGAACCCTATAGAACCCACATGAACCCCATATGAACCCACCCAAACCCTAAGAACCCACAGAACCCTATAGAACCCACTCGAACCTCATAGAACCCACGTGAACCCTATAGAACCCACATGAACCCAGCATGACTCACCTCTGCTTCATACAATGTGGATCCAATGGCAGCAACGTTAGGTCTCTGGCAGGTAAGGCTGAGGGAGGAGGCGGTGATGTTGGCCAGACGACACGACGACAACGGCAACGGCGTCTCTGTAACACGACCATGGACAACCTTTACTACCTGACACACACACACACAGGCTGACTGGGTGACTTATATTGAAGACAGACTTGCCTAAATCACTATGGAAGAAGAAGAAGCAAGTGCATAGTAAGGATGATAGGATGAGGATGGCTATAGTAAGGATGGCAGGATGGAGGATGACTATAGTAAGGATGACAGGATGGAGGATGACTAGAGGATGGCAGGATGGAGGATGACTATAATAGGATATAGGATGGAGGATGACTATAGTAAGGATGACAGGATGGAGGATGACTATAGTAAGGATGACAGGATGGAGGATGGCTATAGTAAGGATGATAGGATGGAGGATGACTATAGTAAGGATGACAGGATGGAGGATGGCTATAATAAGGATGGCAGGATGGAGGATGGCTATAGTAAGGATGGCAGGATGGAGGATGGCTATAGTAAGGATGGCAGGATGGAGGATGACTATAGTAAGGATGACAGGATGGAGGATGACTATAATAAGGATGATAGGATGGAGGATGACTATAGTAAGGATGACAGGATGGAGGATGACTATAGTAAGGATGACAGGATGGAGGATGGCTATAGTAAGGATGGCAGGATGGAGGATGACTATAGTAAGGATGACAGGATGGAGGATGACTATAGTAAGGATGACAGGATGGAGGATGACTATAGTAAGGATGAGGATGGAGGATGACTATAGTAAGGATGACAGGATGGAGGATGACTATAGTAGATGGGGATGGAGGATGACTATAGTAAGGATGACAGGATGGAGGATGGCTATAGTAAGGATGGCAGGATGGAGGATGACTATAGTAAGGATGACAGGATGGAGGATGACTATAGTAAGGATGGCAGGATGGAGGATGACTATAATAAGGATGATAGGATGGAGGATGACTATAGTAAGGATGACAGGATGGAGGATGACTATAGTAAGGATGACAGGATGGAGGATGGCTATAGTAAGGATGATAGGATGGAGGATGACTATAGTAAGGATGGCAGGATGGAGGATGGCTATAAAGGATGACAGGATGGAGGATGACTATAGTAAGGATGGCAGGATGGAGGATGACTATAATAAGGATGATAGGGATGGAGGATGACTATAGTAAGGATGACAGGATGGAGGATGACTATAGTAGGATGACAGGATGGAGGATGCTATAGTAAGGATGATAGGATGGAGGATGACTATAGTAAGGATGGCAGGATGGAGGATGACTATAGTAAGGATGACAGGATGGAGGATGACTATAGTAAGGATGGCAGGATGGAGGATGACTATAATAAGGATGATAGGATGGAGGATGACTATAGTAAGGATGACAGGATGGAGGATGACTATAGTAAGGATGACAGGATGGAGGATGGCTATAGTAAGGATGATAGGATGGAGGATGACTATAGTAAGGATGGCAGGATGGAGGATGGCTATAGTAAGGATGATAGGATGGAGGATGACTATAGTAAGGATGGCAGGATGGAGGATGGCTATAGTAAGGATGATAGGATGGAGGATGGCTATAGTAGGATGGCAGGATGGAGGATGACCATAGTAAGGATGATAGGATGGAGGATGACTATAGTAAGGATGGCAGGATGGAGGATGGCTATAGTAAGGATGGCAGGATGAGGATGACTATAGTAAGGATGACAGGATGGAGGATGACTATAGTAAGGATGGCAGGATGGAGGATGACTATAATAAGGATGATAGGATGGAGGATGACTATAAGGATGACAGGATGGAGGATGACTATAGTAGATGACAGGATGGAGGATGACTATAGTAAGGATGGCAGGATGGAGGATGGCTATAGTAAGGATGATAGATGGAGGATGACTATAGTAAGGATGACAGGATGGAGGATGACTATAGTAAGGATGACAGGATGGGGATGACTATAATAAGGATGATAGGATGGAGGATGACTATAGTAAGGATGACAGGATGGAGGATGACTATAGTAAGGATGACAGGATGGAGGATGGCTATAGTAAGGATGATAGGATGGAGGATGACTATAGTAAGGATGGCAGGATGGAGGATGGCTATAGTAAGGATGATAGGATGGAGGATGACTATAGTAAGGATGGCAGGATGGAGGATGGCTATAGTAAGGATGGCAGGATGGAGGATGACCATAGTAAGGATAACAGGATGGAGGATGACCATAGTAAGGATAACAGGATGGAGGATGACTATAATAAGGATGGCAGGATGGAGGATGACCATAGTAAGGATAACAGGATGGAGGATGACCATAGTAAGGATGGCAGGATGGACATTAAGTGTGATTTTAAGTGAAACCAACGAGTGACAGTACAGTAAGAGTAAAGGTAAGAGTGAGAGTTAGAGTGACTGTTAGAGAGTGACTGTTAGAGAGTGACTGTTAGAATGACTGTTAGAGTGTCTGTTAGCGACTGTTAAAGAGTGACTGTTAGAATGAGTGTAAGAGTAATTATAATCACTACACAAAGACTTCAGCCAGAGACAAGGGAGAATGAACAACACTAACACACGTAACTCAGCCAAATAATATAAATATCACTTACGGGCGACTTTGACAGCGAAGCCACATGGAGTCGCCTGTTTACCCATCTCGTTGACAGCCCAGCAAGTTAAAGTTCTGTCCTCACGGCTCTGACTACCGTAAGCTGTGCCCAAGTTCGTTCTTCCAACTCTCGTGTGACCTCTGTGCTAATGACTGCTGCTACTGTTCCACTGCCACTGGATTGACCTGACTGGTGGGTAGGAGGTCACGGAGCAGGTCACGTTGATAGGCTTGTCGTAGATGAAATAGGTGGTGGGAGACGTAAGGCATACAGGTTTATCTAAAAGGCAGAGAAGGGGAAAGGTGATGAGGACAATGAGGAGTTTCATGTTATTTTTTGACAGAATCTTCAATAGACCACATAGACAGTACAGGGGAGGACAGAGGACCACACAGACAGTAAAATAAGGACAGTAGACCACACAGACAGTAGAATAAGGACAGTAGACTACACAGACAGTGGAATAAGGACAGTAGACCACAGACAGTACAATAAGGACAGTAGACCACACAGACAGTAGAATAAGGACAGAAGACCACACAGACAGTAGAATAAGGACAGTAGACCACACAGACAGTAGACCACACAGACAGTACAATAAGGACAGTAGACCACACAGACAGTAGAATAAGGACAGAAGACCACACAGACAGTAGAATAAGGACAGTAGACCACACAGACAGTAGACCACACAGACACACAGTACAACAATAAGGACAGTAGACCACACAGACAGTAGAATAAGGACAGAAGACCACACAGACAGTAGAATAAGGACAGTAGACCACAGACAGAATAAGGACAGTAGACACACAGACAGTAGAATAAGGACAGTAGACCACACAGACAGTAGAATAAGGACAGTAGACCACACAGACAGTAGAATAAGGACAGTAGACCACACAGACAGTAGAATAAGGACAGAAGACCACACATACAGTAGAATAAGGACAGAAGATCACACAGACAGTAGAATAAGGACAGTAGACCACACATACAGTAGAATAAGGACAGACCACACAGACAGTAGAATAAGGACAGTAGACCACACAGATATTAGAATAAGGACAGTAGACCACACAGACAGCAGAATAAGGACAGAAGACGACACAGACAGTAGAATAAGGACAGAAGATCACACAGACAGTAGAATAAGGACAGTAGACCACACAGACAGTAGAATAAGGACAGTAGACTACTCACACTTGATCCTGAGTGTCACTGGCGGGCTGGTCGTGGTGGTGATGGTGTTAGTGGCGGCACACGTGTACTGGCCAGCTTGTCGTCGTCCAACCTTCTGCAGTACTAGTGACTCACCTGCCAAGATCACCCCTTGTGTTACGTTCTGTACCTGCGCGCCCTGTGGGGAGTGAGGGAGAGGTGAGAGTCCTGTGGAGAGTGAGGGAGAAGTGAGAGTCCTGTGGGAGAGTGAGGGAGAGGTGAGAGTCCTGTGGGAGAGTGAGGGAGAAGAGAGTCCTTGGGAGAGTGAGGGAGAGGTGAGAGTCGTTACATGAACTCTGTCCTGCAGGAGATTATGAAACAGGTTGAGCCATGTAAATTTTATACGTTGTTTGTGGTCGAGATGTTTACCAGAGTGTCTGGTGTAATTAAAATCAGCTGTTGTTTACACTTGATAAGATTTTGTTTATTTTTATATATATACTGGGTATGTAGGTTGAGAAGCAGCACACACACACACACACACACACACACACACACACACACACACACACACACACACACACACACACACACACACTTTACCATCTAACACTGTCGTGGTCAGACGTAATCCTAAGTGTTTTTCAAGAGCTGCCAGGGATTGCTGTACAACACTACAGACGCATCAGGGAGGCCAACAACACCCTGTGATCGTCCAGCTGTACAACACCACAGCTGCATCAGGGCTAACACCAGCCTCTCTCCAACTACAGCTAACAGTATCAGTTAACTTGCATGGTCACCACCTGTTTCCTTCTCTTGTTGTATTGAAAGTTGACGTTAAGTGACCTACTCCCCAATATCTCCTGACGTTAAGTGACCTACTCCCCAATATCTCCTGACGTTAAGTGACCTACTCCCCCAATATCTCCTGACGTTAAGTGACCTACTCCCCAATATCTCCTGACGTTATGACCTACTCCCAATATCTCCTGACGTTAAGTGACCTACTCCAATATCTCCTGACGTTAAGTGACCTACTCCAATATCTCCTGACGTTAAGGACCTACTCCCCATATCTCTTGACGTTATGACCTACTCCCAATATCTCCTGACGTTAAGTGACCTACTCCCCAATATCTCCTCACGTTAAGTGACCTACCCCAATATCTCTTGACGTTAAGACCTACTCCCCAATATCTCCTGACGTTATGACCTACTCCCCAATATCTCCTCATTAAGTGACCTACTCCCAATATCTCCTCACGTTAAGTGACCTACTCCCATATCTCCTGACGTTAAGTGACCTACCCCAATATCTCCTGACGTTAAGTGACCTAATTCCCCAATATCTCCTGACGTTAAGTGACCTACTCCAATATCTCCTGACGTTAGTGACCTACTCCCAATATCTCCTCACGTTATGACCTACTCCCCAATATCTCCTCACGTTAAGTGACCTACTCCCCAATATCTCCTGACGTTAAGTGACCTACTCCCAATATCTCCTGACGTTAAGTGACCTACTCCAATATTCTCCTCACGTTATGACCTACTCCCCAATATCTCCTGACGTTATGACCTACCCCCAATATCTCCTGACGTTAAGTGACCTACTCCCCAATATCTCCTGACGTTAAGTGACCTACTCCCCAATATCTCCTGACGTTAAGTGACCTACTCCCCAATATCTCCTGACGTTAAGTGACCTACTCCCCAATATCTCCTGACGTTAAGTGACCTACTCCCCAATATCTCCTGACGTTAAGTGACCTACTCCCCAATATCTCCTCACGTTAAGTGACCTACTCCCCAATATCTCCTGACGTTAAGTGACCTACTCCCCAATATCTCCTGACGTTAAGTGACCTACTCCCCAATATCTCCTGACGTTAAGTGACCTACTCCCCAATATCTCCTCGTAATTTACGTCCATGCGCTTTTACTGCCCTTGGTTGCTGTTTTCTTCAATAAACCGTAATTATTACTACTACTACTACTACTACTACCAAGCAATATGTCAGTCAATAATAATAATAATAATAATAATAATAATACACACACACACACACACACACACACACACACACACACACACACATGACATTACACAACTCTTAATTCACAAACATTTGTATTATATTCCTCATTTTTTTAGCCTAAAAATCATAAATTATCATAATGCATAACATTAATGATCATCAAACATGTAGATTAAAAAAAAGAAAAAAAAGAACACAATTAGGATTTTAAATAAGTAAAACAAAAAAATCGATAAAATTTAATGACAAAAAAATGGATGGAAAAAAATTTGTGATTATGTTTTTTATATATATTATTGTTTTCGAGGCGGCAGCAGGGAGTGATTAATGATGGTGAACTGTTACAACAACCCAATTTTTATTCCAACACAAATATCGTTTATAAAATCTAAAAAAAAAAAAAATATATATATATGGAAAAAATAATTGAATTTCCATATTGGGTCTGGGAGGCAGAGTATGATTCAGCGATTACATTTATTATTATTTTTGTTCAATAAAGTTATTTTTTTATTACTTTTATTTTATTTTGGGGTTTAATTAATTTATATGGATGTATTTGTGAGTTAGTTACACCTTTTAGTCTTTGTCTATTTATGTGATTATTGCTTTATTTCTCTCTCTCTCTCTCTCTCTCTCTCTCTCTCTCTCTCTCTCTCTTTCTCTCCTGTATGTCTATATGTCTGTCTTTCTGTCTCACTCTCCCTTTCTTGTCTGTCTGTCTGATTCTACGTCTCTCTTTCATCTGTCTGTATCTCTACCTTTATCTGTCTTTCCACCTCACTCCCTCTTTCACTCTCATTTTCCTGTCTGCCCGTCCGTCACTCTCACTGTCTACATATATAATCTTATTTCTACTTTTCTATTCAATTTTCTCACAGATTTAAGCTAAAATAATTAATAAACACAACATACTTATTTTCAACCCACCTTCATCACATAGACGTCACAAAAATAACTCCCATATGACAACAAATTACCTTCAGAAGATTATTGAATTGATTCATTTGCATACTGTACTGAAATGATCGAATAATTGCGTTGATTTAGTGATTTGGGCTAAAGCAACAGGTAGGTTTGAAGTACTGTGTGTGTGAGGTGGTATCTCTGGTATTTCTGAGGAGGTAGTGGAGGTCGGGTGTACCTACCTCGTGATACCAGGTGATGGTGGAGGCTGGGGGGTTGGCCTCCACGGTACAGGTAAAGTAAACATCGTCTCCCTCCTTCAGTAACTCCGGCCGTAGTGAACGACCGAGCGACGCAGCTACTGTAGGTGGGTCTGTGAGGGAGGGAGAGGAATAATAATAATAATAATAATAATAATAATAATAATAATAATAATAATAATAATAATAATAATAATAATAATAATAATAATAATAATAATAATAATAATAATAATAATAATAACAACAATAATAATAATAATAATAAGTATTAACAAAAATAACAAGAACAACAAGAACAACAAGAACAACACTAATAACAACAACAAGAACAACAACAGCCCAGGTGGTAGGCGTGGGCACTACAGGACATAATTACTATGAAGGCTGAAGGACAGAGCGCCCCTGGTGGTGGAGGTAAACATTACCTTCACCCACTGAGTAAACACCAAGACACATAATTAACTTCAGCAGGTAACTTGTTTTAACCGCGGCGATAATCACGTCAACACAGGAGGGGGTGAGGGGGATGAGGGGGAGGGGGAGGGAGGGGGAGGGGTGAGGGGTGAGGGGGTGAGGGGTTGGTGGACGTATTGCAGGTGGGGGGTAGAGGGGACAAGGAGGAGGAAGGGAAGAGGGTTGAGGGGTACCTATTCTGACCTATTTTACTCATAGACATACAAAAGAAATATAAATAAAATATTAAGTTTTTCTTCCGGGTACAGTAGGTATACAGAGTGACACATTAGTCACTTTCCCGTGATATTTGTTGTGGGTAAAGCGACTTATGCGCCACCCTGTAGAGTGTTCCATATGTGAGGCAGTTGTTAAAGATTCCAGACAATTTAGTAAAGTTATTAAGGAAGTGATGATAAGAGTAGACTGAACAATAAACCTTCAGAATACAACTCGGTAACACAAGCAGCTTATTGAGGGATAATTATTTGAGGCGGAACAAAAATGACCATAATTCACGTCATGATATAAGAAACTACATTATTATTTTCTCTCCTCTGCTCAAGGTCGCTCTCCTCCCTTTACATAAGAATAAAAGCATATATGAGGCGGGTTTTCTCGTGAAATTGTGTAGTAAAGTTATTGTACAGCGCCCGTGAGCATTGTGCTATACGGCAGCCATCTTGATTAGTGTTTATTCTCGGCCACCAGAGGGCAACACTGCCTTACAACAACAACAACAACAACAACAACAACAACAACAACAACAACAACAACAACAACAACAACAACAACAACAACAACAACAACAACAACAACAACAATAATAATAACAATAACAATAACAATAATAATAATAATAATAATAATAATAATAATAATAATAATAATAATAATATATTTAGGTATATCTTTACTCACAGTGGACTATGAGTGTGGTGGTGTTGGCTATGGGAGCATCAGGGACAGCGGGGTTGGCAGCCCTGCAGGTGACTCTCGTGTTGTGATCTTTGCGGGTGAGGTTGGTCACTAGTGTAGAGCTGGTCACGTCTCCGTACACCAGGTTCTGTACATACATACATACATACATACATACATACATACATACATACATACATACATACATACAGAGAAGATAAAATTGAATACATTAGTTCATGATCAAAGAAAGTCATTTTATATCTTAACAAGTTTCATCCTAATTAACTTGAAGAAACAATAAATAAAGTAATTAATACAACTCATGATTATTATACATGAATTTTACACGAAATATTAAATAATGTTAAGATATTATGAACGCAGATTATAAAGCATTTGGTTTATTTTAATGATTATGTTAACTAATGTGGGTTAGGTTAAGTTAGGTTAGGTTAGGTTAGGTTAGGTTAGGTTAGGTTAGGTTAGGTTAGGTTAGGTTTGCTGGGTAGAGTGTGGGGGGGGGGGAGGGAATCGAACGTGAACCAGGTAACCATAAAACATGAGATAAGAGCTGTATACACTCGCCCACCGCACCTCAATACATAAACACACATTATACAGCGGACATAAACTGTAAACAAAGGATATACACTTTGTTTACTTCACCATAAACAAATATCAAAAAAGACCCAACATAATTTGTTCTAAACTTTACAAATAATCTCTTAAGTGGATTTACACTCAGCTGATGATGAAATAAAGAGAGAAAATATACACAGAACGTGTAAAAAAAATACAAATATAATAAAAGAATAAAGCAAATATAGCAAATATAGTAATGAAGGAATAAGACAAATAAGTATAATAAACATTTCAATGAAATAACGAAATAACGATAAATAAATAATAATAATTAAAACGATGATGAAAATAATGATCATAATTCAATAATAAACTTCCCATTCACCTGAACAAGAGCACTTCATCTGCTATTCACTGCTCGAGCGCTAAAGGCGTGACACACACACACACACATACACACACACACACATACACACACACACACACACACACACACATACAGTATCCTAATACGTCCCAGTGTTGAAAACATTTAAATTCGTGGTTATTCCCCATAAGCGATATTTTTTTTAAACAGCCTTTCCCTATCACCGCTTGAATTTAAAGCCCCATACAGCCACACGGGCAAAAATAAGCCTTATGTGTGGGTTAGCTTGGCTTCGCCTCCGGTGTTACTTTGTGTTTGTCTGTTTAATTAGATTAAACAACTTAGAGGCGTGTGTGTGTGTGTGTGTGAACAGGAGTTCCCCCAAGATCTTAAAACGCCTCTATCGTCAATACTTACAATAACAAGGGAGACTGGTCAATCAGTGGCAACTACCGCGGGATCTCCCTGCTGTCTGTAGCTGGCAAGGTTATCGCCCGAATCCTCGTTAACAGACTTCTTCCTCTCGTAGTTTCAATGTGGCTTTAAGCCATCACGTGGTACTACTGACATGATCTTTGCTGCCCGCCAGATACAGGAAAAGTGCAGAGAATAGCACAGTGACTTACTGTATACCTTCATCGATCATACAAAGGCCTTTGACTCGGTCCACAGGGAAGCCCTATGGTGGACCCTCCGTCGTTTTGGTTGCACACCAAATTTCATCGTCATTGTGAGGCAACTCCACGATAGCATGAACGGCAGTGTCCTGCACAGTGGCACTCAGTCTGAGTTCTTCCCCATCCAAACGGAGGTAAATCAAGGATGTGTACTGGTGCCAACTCTCTTTTGCATTTTCTTGGCTGCCTTCCTACTTGTGCCAGTGCCAATTTAGCCGGCGGGGTGGGCATTCAGTACCGGATGAAGGGTCGTTTCAACATAAAACGACTCCAGGCAGGAACATAAGTGTCGGCTGCTTCCATCACTGAACTTTAGTATGCGGACGACATCACTTTCGTCGCTCATATTGAACGCGACCTACCGGAGATTCTGAACACCTACGCAGGCGTGTACACACACTTCGGCCTCGAGGTGAATTTAAATACTCCTCAGAGTCTGTTCCAGCCTGACCCCTAGCTCAGCCACCCCTTCACCATCCATCCAGTTTAGCAGTACTGCCCTCTCCAATGTTACCCATGTTCAGTATTTTGGCTCCCACCTGTCCACCACCGCGGACACCGATGAAGAGAGCCAACATCGAATCAGATGAGCATCTCAAGCCTTTGGCAGACTCCGTACCCGTGTCTTCAGCTGTAGGGATCTGAAATTATCTACAAAGCTGCACGTGTATCGAACAGTGGTCCTCCTCACCCTGCTGTATGGCAGCGAGATATGGGTCACATACAGGAGGCACCTCAAGGTACTTGAAAACTTTCACCAACGTAGTCTACGTTCCATCCTCCGAGTTCGCTGGGAAGACAAGAGAACAAATGCCAGTATTTTCACTGACACCAACTGTAGGAGCTCCGAGGCTGCCATTATCCATGAACAACTACATTGCAGTGGCCGTGTTACCGGCATGGACGACAGTAGACTGCCAAATCTGCTACTCTACTGTCACCTACAGAAAGGTAAATGTATGGCTGGCGGGCAACGGAAAAGTATGAAATAACCAGAAAATGTGCCAAATCGACCCTATCACCTGGGAGGATATCACTCCACACCGTAACGCTTGGAGGAACACCACACGAGGTGTCAATTCAGACTGCATACCGAGACAGACTCGCACCAGAGCCGGAAAGACTCTGCCGCTACCCCTCCCGCACTAGATGTAGCCCGCCACAAGTGCACCATCACTGGACGACCCGGGCAGTTCTCTATCGGTCTCTCGAGCCACCTCTGAACTCACTAATTCCTAATATGTAAAATATATTCCCGAATTTAAAAACAAGAACCTCCATAAAATTATGACAAAATCCCCAATTTCGAAAAAAAAAACGGAAATAAAAATTAAATAAATAAGACTAGAGATGTAAGGAATATTTCAGTAAATTTACAAATCTCACACCATCTGGGTCTGTAGTCTAGATATTACTGAGACTTACTTAAGATTTAATCCACCAACCAGCTCTTTCCATCGAGCCTGGTGACTCCTGGTGACCTATATCCCCTCTTACCTCCTTCTGAGTTGGTCTGGTGACTCCTGGTGACCTCCCCCCCCCCCATTACCTATTTCTGGCATGACCTGGTGACCAAAGATGACCTCCCCTCTTACCTCCTCCTGGGATGACCTGGTGACTTAAGATGACCTAACCTCCCTTACCTCCTTCTGGGCTGGCCTGGTGACGCCCCTGACAGTCCAGGAGAGGGAGGCGGAGGGTCTGGAACCAGTGGAGGTACACACCAGCCTCACCTGTTGTCCCTCCCTCACGGCGCCGGGGTTACTGATCACCACGCTAGTTGGCAACACTGTCAACGTCGGGAGAGGTGCAGATTAGTGAATTGAATATGTGTGTGTGTGTGTGTGTGTGTGTAATGCTTCAGGGAATGTGTGTAACTATGGATTTCACATAATTTCTAAAATATTCAGGAATTTCACATAATAACTGCGGACTTCAGCCAACTTAACCTATAATGAAAAAATACCAAGATTAGTTGAACGTTCGCTGAAGATTACAGGAAACTACAAAATATTTTAGGGATTACGTGAAATCCCTAGCTACAGGAATTCACTGAAACCTAAAGCAATATTTAGGTGTAGCGAGGATAGTGTGGACACAGTCTTAAAGAATGGCGATGTTTCGTATTTTTCTTGTTGTTTTTGTTTGTTGTTCTTATACTGACGTTTTGTTGTTGTTGTTGTTGTTGTTGACTTATAATACTAACCTATATCACTCAAAACTTCCTTTCTTCCTTTCCTCTCCTCTTTCCTCACTCTTCCTCCATCACTTCTAACCTTCCATTCTCCTTTTCTCTCCCTCTTCCTTCTCCACCCTCTCTCACTTATTCCTTCTCCTTCCTAACCTCATCCACAATCCCTACCTCCTCCTTGTTCTTCCTTCTATTCTAACTTCCTTCCCGCTTTCCTCTTCACCCAACTTTCCTCTTCCTCCTCCCCCATCCTCCCTCCTTCCCCTCCTCATCCACTTTCCCTTTTCCTCCTCCTACGTCCACCATCCACTCTCCCTCCTCCCCTTCCTTAACCCATTTTCTCTTCCTCTCTCCCCCCACTTCCGTCTCCTTCCCCTCCCCTTCGTATCTACCCTCCCTTCCTTTCCTCCCTCTCTCCTTACACCCTCTTCTTCCTCCTCCTCCTTCTCTCCTTCTATTCCCCATTCTCTCTCCTCCTTCTCCCTCCCATCACTACCCTCCACCACCCTACACTCCACCCACCACACACCCACACACACACACACCCACCCACCCACACCACACACGCCCACACACCCACACACACCCACACACCCACACACCCACACAC